GTGGCCACTGCACTCCAGTCTGGGCGACAGAGTGAGACTCCAACTCAAAAAAGAAAAATAATTAAAAAAAAATACTGTCCCCCACCTTCCAAGGAGTGCCACTGAAGCAGCAGGGAGAAGTAAAACAAGTGAGCAGAGAAAAAGCACTTCTTTCCAAAATATTTAACCAAAACAAAAGGGCTCCAGAATGAGAATTTTGCCATATACCAGTTTGGGGAATAAGAAAGGTCTGAGAAAAAAAAAAAGAAAATTGTATCCCTTTGCATAAAGTAGCCTTTGGGCTGGTTGTAAGAAATATGCAAATTTGTCCAAGTCTATGATGTTCTCAGAACAAAAAAAGCATTGCCATGATTTCTCTCTCTCTCTCTCTCTCTCTCTCTCTCTCTCACTCTCTCAGTTTCATAATTTATCTTTCCCTTAGACTCATTCCATTTCAAATTTCACTGGAGTAGCTTGTTTCATCATACTTGTTACTGGAAATTTCTATAGCAATTAGTCAAAGTTATCAAAGAAAGCTCTCCATTAGTATGCCAGGTAGAAAGTCATCTTCTTTGAGAATTTATCATTACAAAATACTTTCCATATTTCAAAATTGCTTAAAATCATCTTAATTTTTTTTCTTTTTTTCCCCAGGAACTACAACTTCAGTACTAAGTAGTAACACCATTGAGAACGGAATACCAACAGGTCAGTCTCTGCATTGCAGATTGTTGAGATTTCATTGATTACTAGTGGAATTTTGCTTCTGACAGGAGGTGATAAAACTTTTCATTTGAAGACTTATTTGGAGTTGATGGTGGTTGGTCATATTAATGCTCTCGAATTCTCTGGACAGAAGATTCCATTAGATGCATCTTTGCTAAAGCATAGCTTTTCAGATATAGATACCTCGATTGGAGTAGTCTTTTTAGAAAAAATATTTCCACATTTACGTACTACTATCATGCAAGGTAAAGTCACCAGTACCCAAGAAGTTTTTAACTCAGGTAAATGAAGATAACAAAAATAAACGTAGGGCCTTCTGAGGGTCTTATATGAAGGTTTTTTGTTTACTTATTAAAAATGATCAAGAAAAGAAATATTCTATTAAAAAGCATGGGGATATAAAATAGCTTGAAAGGCTCAGGAAATTACAGTATGGAATGCTTGTGGAATGCAACCCAGATATTGGAAAAGCATTGTAAGTGAGGATGTGGGGAGGAATTTTTGAGCTTCCAGATGGCAAAGTTGGGACAAAAACGTCCTGAAAAGAGGGGGAAAAAGATCACCCATCAATTCTATATTCTGCAATGAGAATATTACAATAGTAGATCCAATTATAACATAAATTTAAAACTTGATTCCTTGAACAAGGAGGAACAATTGCAAGGTTTTAGGTAGACTGATTTAAAAGTACTCAGATTAAATTTTTTTGGAAGATTAGTTAGTCACGAGACAGAGAATTGATGGAAAGGTAAGAGAGTAAGTGTGAGGCATGTTGTCTTGTTTGAAGACTGTGAGAAGTAAGCGATGATTAGGACTGAAATAAAGCAGTCATGTGGGGAAGCGGGGGAGGAGGGAGCAGAAGGAGTGAGCAATGTGTTGGCAAATTAGAATTGACTCACTAGTATGGGTGGGTGGATGATGGTGCCATCCACTAAGTTTGGGAATATCCTAAAGGAATTAAAAAATGATAACTGATAGAAGATACAGTAAGATTAGATTTTGGTAGTTTGAGTTTGAATTGCTTTAAGGTTTTCAGGGATTGATACCCAACAGAGCTGATGAGGGTGAATGGAGCCCAGAAGAGAAGCTTGTACTGGAGATAGAGATTTGCCAGTCTCTTTGATTTGCCATTCATTTGCTTACAAATTATATTTGACACTCTGGGTGCTGATGATTTTATTTGGGGTAATCACATAGAGCAAGAAGAAAGAATAGACAAAGAGTGTTTTTTGAGCTTACCAGTATCTAAAGGATGGGCAAGGAAAAGGTGAAGGGGCCTGAAAAGAGGAGGAATTTTGGTTCACCACTTGTCAATGTGTTTGATTTAACATAGAGTATTGGAGGAAGAGGCCATGCTGCCTACAATGTAGGGATTCATAATCTCGAACAGGATCAGCCAGAATTTTCTGGGGACATATATACTTTAAAAAAATGTTTCATTTTCAAAGAACCTAGGCTTATAGTACAGAAAGTACTATAAGTACTTGAAAGTAGAAGAGGGAAACTGTCTTGAAAGAATTAAAATGTCAAAATTCTCAATTCTTTCCATTTTTTAACTTCAGGAGTCACCACCATAAGAGAGACAAGGAGTCAACCTATAGAAAGTAAAACAGGTGAGCTTGTGGAATTGAAAAGGGTGAGGATGGGGAAGGCTCCCATCTTTATAATACTAACTCTGAAAAAAAAAGACCTCAAAGGACTGAAGCTTGCTACAAGAAGTCGAACAGAAAAATACATGCTTATTTCATTTCTTGGGATAAGGAATCCTGGAGAAGGAATATGCTGTTTCACAGAAACACATACATTTGTCTTAAACTGGGATCATTATCCAATAAGATGTTGCTCACATTACCTCCTCTTCCTTCTCGCTCCCATCCCAGGTTCCTCTGGGACTACAGCCTCACCTGGAAGTTTCAGAACAGGTAAATCAAGTGGTAAAAGGAATTCGCCTTTAAATGGCTCTAGGGACAAGATCATATACTGCCATATCATTTTCACGTTTACAAACTCTCCATCTTCTCAGTTTTTTCTCTTTTGTTCTCTCAATGGCTATAACATTTAAAGAAGGTGTTGGAACCACTGAAATTTCATCAGGTGAGTTTTGCCAGATTTTGAATTCTCAATCATTTTTCCATTTGTGTGTACTACATACAGATTTTGAGTGAAAATAAATGTGACTGAAAAGTGGCTGCTTTTCCTTTAATAATAGATCATGAGACTAACATAGCTTAGCTTTCGGGTTTTTCCAGGAGCACATATTATAGATGTAAGTCTCTAGACACATCTTTTCTTCACTCTTTTTGTCAGACAAAACTCCAGGATCAGTGGGAGTCACCAGTAGCCAAGAAGGTGAGTAAGATTACTACAATAGATACAAGTAATTTTGCTAATTAAGGTTTTGATTAAGATGCTTAACCTTTGGTAACAAGTTTAGACACAGTTTGCTCTTCTGGTTTTCTTCCCCTGGAGAACTCCTCCCTTTTCTTACATTAACTTTGGAAAACTTTACTGGAAGTAAATCGTATGCATATAAGAAAAATATTTTCCAATTTAGCAGAGTCTGGATGATTCTAGAGCTAGAGAAATGAGATCTTTGAGGCAATTGTGACTTTTCTCCCCCATATTTCCTTTGAACATGCAACCATGGAAGAGTGCATTGAGAAATATGTCAGGCTTAACATTAGGGGTGAGAAAACTTGTTAAATTGCTTTCTATTTCTTCAGAGAAAGAGGAAAACTTGACAATACCTTGCTCTTTTTAGCATGAGAAAGGTTTTGTGAGGCTTATCCTTCCCTTTGGTTACAGGCACCACTGGGGTAGCCTCTGGCACAACAGTTGTTTCTAGAAGTTCCAACACAGGTAAATATTTAATAAGTAGCTCTAAGTATCTGGGGCTAGAAAAACAAAGTCCCTTCTCTGCCCTGTTCTAGCGTCAGCACAGCTGTTCTTACCTCATTCTTCTTTACCTTTCTTATGGTTAAATGAGTGTCTGTCAATGGTTACATCTGTTTAAATCCATTGGGTTCTCACTAATAACTCCTAGTCATTGCTCAACATAGGAAAATGTCGGAGGTAAAAATAAAGGCCCAGAAAACTGGGTGGAATGCCATTAGGGTATTTATTTTTTTTAACCATCTAAGGTGGTTTTCTGGTTCTAGGTTTCTAGAGCTCAGACCAGATCCCCCAGTCCAGCTTGTGAAGGCACACAGGGCAGCTAAAAGAGGGAGTAGAAGCTGAAATCCAGCTCACATTTCTCCAGCAAAGTGTAAATCCATGCAACCTCATGTACCCAGAGTGGGTATTTATGTGTGTGCAATTCACAAAGGTATTCCATGGGCTAGCTGCAGCACTGATCGGGAATGTCATCGAATTTGCTTTCTCTTCCTGATATTGATTTCTAAGGACAGGCATAGGGGCTGTGTCTGGTATGAAATGTCCCTCATATGCCTTTGCAGGCAGTACTGTGATATCAAGTGGAATCACTGGAATCCCAGAAAGTTCCATCCCAGGTAATAGAAATGTTTGACTCAAATGAAGTTTATGTGCTCAACATTCTTCTCCCCTTAACAGTAAAGTGTTTGGGATAACCAATATTTATCTCTATAAAATGAGAATAAAACTTCAGCTGTAAAAGAAAAAATACACCAAATGGAGTTAAACAGGCAAATAAGACTTTATTTAAGAGTATTACAATAAGGATAAAAACCATTGCAATGGGAAAAAGAGATTGAACTCACTCTGATTAAAAAAAAAAGTCAGAGACTTTTTTAGTGCTGAGGTGAGCCAGTGGGAAAAATACTGAAAAATGTCTGGAGAGGGGTGGATCTACATGATTAGGCCATCTGTGTTTGCTAATTGTCACATAATCTGGTCAAAGTTAGGCCCCTACCCTCCCACCAAGACCGGGATATAGAGGCATTATCTTTCTTGATAATTATATTTCAAAGGGGTGGCTTCCAGATCCTAGAGAGGAATATTTCTGGATTATAAAACCAGCCAGAGAATGGGAGAAGATTTACATCTCCGCGGAGGAGAGAAAGAATTTTTAATTGCAAGTTTTTGAAAGTAAATACTTTAAGAAAATGGAGGTCAGGGACCTATACCTAGGAAGAAATCTACCTAAACTTTAGTTAAGCTGAGGGTTATGGTAGACTGTCTCCATCATCACAGATGTTTTCTTATTTTCTCTCACTCTTATAACTTCTCTCCCTCCAAAATGAATACATACAGAAGAACCACGAAACCAAATCATACTAAGATTTAAGCATGAGAAAAGCTGTTGACACTTAAAGAAATGAGAAATTCATCAGGGTCATAGTGAAATATTCAATTCACCTGTGTGAGCAAGGAGTTGCTAATATAGGAAATTCTTAATGATTCAAGGGCAGGGACATGAGCTAGCATTAGCAGATGCCTTGGTATGCAATGGGTGCTTTGAGACTCTTGTTTCATGTGGAGGTAGTTGTCTTAGGGACAGGCTTTTCTGAGACCAGGAAAGGATTATTCCTCTTCCCTTGCTCATTTTAGGCACCTCCATGGAAGTATCTGAAACAACTGTTGCTCCTGGAATTTCTCCCACAGGCAAGTCAAATAATAATAAATGAATTTCTCATGGTAGCATCTTAGAAAACAGGGTAACTTAAGTGCATTTCTCATAGAAGTAGAGAGTACAATGGTGGTTACCAAGGGCCAGGATAGTTGCATTATTGCATTATTGAAAACTGCTAAGGGAGTGGATGTAAAGTATTCTCCCCACAAAAATTATATCTGAGTGAGGTAATGAATATGTTAACTAACTAGATTTAGTCATTCCATAATGTATATATATATTCTTCAAAACACCATGTACAAAATAAATAAACAGTTTTATCTGTTCACTTAAAAAAATAATTTAAAAAATTTTTCTAAATGAAATTAAGTTGTAGCTTCTCCAGTCCCCTCTACTCATCCCTTTTGTTCCTTTCTTAATGGTCATCACTTCCACAGGAGTCAAAGAAACTTCTGGAACTGGAGTGCAAACAGGTGAATGATCAATGTGGATTTGAGTATACATATGGACTTGAATCTTGGGGAAAGAAGTAGTAGGAAAGAAATGAGAGAGAGAGGCCAGGAAAATGGCATCCAACTTCCTTTTGGAATACGACATTGAAGCTCCTCTAGGGATACCTTTTTTCTCTGCTAGGCTTTCACTGGGTATCTCCTCCTGAAAGGGATTCATGCAGCTTGAAGATTCTGAGGAGGGAATTATGAAGGATGCTAGTTCTGAAATCTTGTATATTTTCTTTTGCAGACTTCACCTCAGTTTCAGCTGGAGTAACAACACACCCACAAGTATTCCAGTCAGGTAAAATGAAATGACCCAAATGAGCTGGAATGAACTGTTATTCCACACAAAGCTTTCCTTGAGCATGAACACATGCTGTCATTTGGACACTTACATACACACAGCTTGCTCTAATTTACAGATCACAATACTGTCCTTTTATTTCCCCTCAGAAACCACCACAGTGGCAACAGGAGATAAAGAAACTGAAAATAAAACAGGTCAGTATGAGGAAAGCCCTAATTTCTCTGTTGCTATTTTAATGAACGTTTCTTTGATACTTTATATGTGCTAGACTCTACAGCAGACTTTAAAAGCAAAAACATCAGTATAGTGTAGCACTTGCCATTTTGTATTTTGTGTATATAGAAGGGAAGAAATACTACTGAATATGTAATAATAACACAGAATATGTACAAAAAATGTTGGTTCCAGAAGATGGAGAGAGAGAGAGTAGAGTGTCCACTTCTGTTTATTACTTGGTAGTATAGAGTGAAGGTTTTAGAAAGGAGATTGAGTTTAATATTGACTGGGTTGAGGAAGGAATTCCTGCCAAACCGCTTCTGAAAAGACAGAAACGTGAGACCACATGGTGAGTTCAGGAATCAACTAGATGTAGGCAAAGACTCTATGAGGTTCAGGGAGGAAATGAGATTCAAAAAGTTAGTAGAAGAAAGTTCATGAAGAACCTGATTTCCAAACTTATATGAGACTTTATCTTTATAGTAAATGGGATCTCTTTAAGCATGTTATCAAGAGACTGATATCAGTGGTTGTTTTAGAGAAAGTAATCAAATAGCAATATGGATAGTAGAAGATTGTTCTTCATTACTCTTATATCTCTAATGAACTCTTATAATTCTGGGCAGGGAAGATTTTCTCCTATATTTATACCAAATTGATCATTTCTCTCTTGTATTGCTTGTTTCTACTAATGCGCTAAACATTTGTCACTGGGAACTAGTTCAGCCTCCCTCAGCAGAGAGTCAGAGACATTGGATCCCCCAAATTTCCACACCATTAATTCATTTTAAAAAATCTATATTTGTGCTTATTTGTTGTTGGGGTCACTTTACTTAAACTTGTAGAAATTTTAAGTTCTTTTCAAATATTCTGTTGTTTCTAGTCCAATCTTTTCCTTGGTAGATATTAATAGAATAAAAATATTAATTTAATTTTGAGCAGTTTTAAAACAATTTGAAATTTAGGAATGAATTGTTGGGTTGACCAAAATATATGATGTGTGAAAGGTCAAAAAGATACCTATTGTAAGTTTAAAGCATTTGTGGAGGATTGAGATAGAACAAAACTGAAATATTTCAAGAAGATCAAAAGAGAATAAGTTATTAAATGATTAAAACTAGGTAATTAATAATACTTATATCTGAATTATCCTTTTCATTGTGTATCTATTTTATTGTTCTATTCAGTAGGACACTCTTCCAAGAAATTTTGAAGTTTACCTTGATGTTTCGATTCTTATATATATGTACCATTAAACTTTGAAGTTCAAAAGAAACACTCTGTAATGGCGAAATTTGCAATGCAATGAGGAGCAAAAGGAGATATAGATAGGAATACGTCTGTTTGTAAGACTAGCTATGTAGCCAATTATTTTCAAGAATAGAATAATTAAGTAGGCCAGGCATAGTAGCTTATGCCTGTAATTAAAGCACTTTGGGAGGCCAAGGTAGAAAGATCACTTGTGACTAGGAGTTCAAGACCAGCCTATCTACCAAAAAAAAGATATCATAATGGTATATGCCTGTAGTTCCAGCTACTTAGGAGGCTGAGGCAGAAAGATAGCCTGAGTCCCTGAGCCCAAAGGGTTGAGACTGCAGTGATCTATGATCGCATTTCTGCACTCCAGCCTAGGTAACAGAGTGAGACTCTGCATCTAAAAAAAGAATAATGAATTGGGTGACTATAGTTGCCCACACACTATTCCAGTAACTTCAGAAACTAATGTAAGGTTCCTGTTTTGACACAGGATGCCCAGCAACACTTCCGCCAGCTCCAGGTAAGAATGCCACTACTTTACAGTCATTCTGCATTATGGGCTCTTCTTGTAAATAAAATTTCAGAGACCATGCTAATAGAAGTCACTAGCAATGGAAATGTGACTAAATAGGAAAACTCGAAGTGGATGGATTTAGCTTTTATTCACTAAATAAGTAGTGGGGAATAGTTTATTTTCTCATTCACAAATGAATAAAGCCAAATCAAACAAATAAGCCTTGTTACTTAGATCAAAATAAAGTTTATCTACTAAGTGTTTCATGTAATTTCTGATATCTTGATCAAAACATTGTCACTTGATACTGAGAATTTTTAAAACGATATAGTTCCAGCTTGAGGGATGAATTATAGTAAGAAAAATTCAGTTTACACAGAGTTCAATAATTTTAGAGAACTTCATTGAGTTCCTTCTAGTCTCAACAATGTGATATACTTTGTAGCAAGTGGAAAAAAATTATTCTCTGACCTTGGTATATAGTGAGAGAAAGAAGATTTTCAAAGAATCACAGATAATTTTCATATCAGGCAGGAAATAAATTTCACAGTAAAAAATATAAAATATGTATTATATAGAGATTGAATGGAATGTTATATGTCACTTATATTGTATATCTTTGAGATGTTCCCAAATATTTTATTACAGGATTGGAATTTGAGAACAATATCTAGATTAGTTCAGGGCATATAAATGAGACAAATGAGACAAAATTGAAAGAGTAAGATTGAATCACAATATAGGAGGCCTTGGAAGCTAGAATAAAGTGTTTATTTTACAATACTATAAGGAACCATCCAAAGTTTTTAATCAAAAGAGTAGTGAGATAAGAATCAGTCTTTTAAAAAATTACCTGTCATATAAAGAATTGATTGAATCAGAGAGTCCTCTAACTCAAAGAACCCCCTTTAAAAAGCCAGTAAATCAAAGGAAAGGAAGAAATTAAAGTGAGAGTGAAGATACAGGACTTGGCAGTAAATTAGATACTAAGTGATAAAAGGAAGGAATCAAACGCCCAAGATTTAAACTTGACAATTGAAAGTATGACATCCTGTTGTTAACACGAAGAAGTCAGTCTAAAAGAAGTTGGTTTTAGAGGCAAAATGATACAATTTGTTTTGTGCACACTGAATTTGGGGTTTGTATGGATCTGCTAGGTTGCTATCTATAACACTGAGAAAACTGGGTCCATAGCTTCTGAGAGAGGTCTGAATTGAAGCTGGAAGTTTGAGAGCCATCCATTTGATGTTGCTTTGAACACAGGGGAGATGGAGGAAAGAAAAGAGTCAAAACGAGAGAGAGTAAGAAAAGATGTCTAGTAAAGACAAGAGTTTCAGAGTGCTAAATCTGAAGAAAGGAGAATGTTTTTCAAGAAAGTGAGAATAATGTCAGCTATGGCAGGGGACTAAAAAAACTGAGGAAGGGCCCTTTGGTCTGGTAATTATAAAGTCTTGGTGACTTATAGGATTGTGGAAACAGAAGTCCAACTGTAAAACAGTAAGTCAGTTAGTAGCCTTAAGATTTATTGACCACTGCCAGGAGAACTTAAGAATTATCCTTTGCTCTTGGGATTGTAAAAATAGTATATATTTGTTAAGAACAGTTTTCTTGAAGCAGGTGGATGTGATTTATTCACCTTAAGGCACCATATAATCCTCTGTAATTCTGTGACTCTGAAATCCTAATGCCAATTACAGTACTGGCCACCTGCTGGTTAGCTATAAATAACAGATGGTTATATTTTGCCAAATTTAATTACCGTTTATTATTTTATGTTAACAGTTTGTCATGGTCCACTGGGGGAAGAAAAATCTGTAAGTACACAGTTTTGCAAATTTTAATTTTAATTTGCTCTGATCCTTGTATTTGAGAAGTCTAAACTTGGTTTGTATGTGTAGCCTGGAGACATATGGACTGCCAACTGCCACAAATGCACTTGTACTGAGGCAAAGACTGTAGACTGTAAACCTCAGGAGTGCCCTTCTCCGCCCACATGCAAATCCGGAGAGAAGCTTGTAAAGTTCAAATCTAATGATACCTGCTGTGAAATCGGACACTGTGGTGTGTATTCATAATACATTATTTGAATTGAATCTGTTCATTGTTTACTTATGCACATATTCAAGAGATAGTTTTAGAGCTACTGATATTTCTCAGACACAGTAATAGGCAGGTATATATAAATAAAACAGAACTAGTACTTGCATTCTTAAAACTTAGCATCTTCGAAATTAGGGCTACCCAGAATTAACAGTTATGAATGTCATCGGTAGACTAAAGGGAGATCATTATATTATGGAGAGAAACATTTTAATTGGTTGATTAGTATGAGCTCATCTACCATTTTTGTTTTATAAATAAAAATTATAATATTTATTTTAAAATCAAATAATATATTTATTTTTCAGAACCAAAAACATGTTTATTTAATGATACTGACTATGAGGTAAGGTTTTTTTCATTAAAATATTTTTGTTAATTGTATGAATAAATGAAATGTTGGACTATATCAAGAGACTTTAAGCTTCCAATATAAAAAAAAAACCGGTAATGGGTTGAAATCTGTTCTTTATTCTTCCATATCCACTTCCAAAGGAACATAAAATGTAACACTCATTGTGGTTCTCTTCAAAGAGGGGAAATATAGTACTTGATCATTAACTACTCAGCAGTGGAGTGTCTGAACAAAATTTCCCATGGGCCTTGCCAGATGGAGAAGACACACTTTGTAACATTCAAATCATTGAACAGAGTTAAACTGTAATTATAAATGGGAAGATCAGATGGTCAAACTGTCAGAGATCAAACAAGAAAACCCAAAGGACTAAAACCCCATTATGCAGATACAGCAACACAGTATATTCAAGGCTGGATTTTGACAATTGATTTGGTATTTTAAACAGTAATTTAACTTTTTAGGAAAAGTATCAGGAAGCTATAAAAATCAGATAATTCTCAAGTCGATGTTAACACGCTTAAAGTGGCGATACTAAATAATTTAAAATCTCAATTCAAATATATGTGGTGAGTTAGAAAATAGATTAAAAAGTCTATGAGAGTTTCACTTTGAGAACCCATTTTTCAAACTAAAATTTCCATCTGAGCTTCTTAGTTTTTAGTTTCCAAAGTTGATCTGTCTTGAGCCTATGATAGTTTTAAATACAAAATATGGTAACGCTTAAGGAAAAAAAGAAGTTTTTCTCTGGTCATTTATATACAAAATAGTTGAAATAGTAAAATTTCAACTAGTTTATCAGAAAGATCATCTTGTCGTCTGAGAACCTGAAACAAAAAGTTTCTCAAACTCTTGTTAGAATGTTCAACATAATCTAATTGTAAAGCAATCTAGAGCGTATGGAAACATAAGAAAAGATAGAAGTAAGACATTTTCTGAGATTTATCATTTTCTAATCTGATAAATCTATTTTGTGCCATTTTCCTCCACCTAAATTTCTTGTTTTCCCTTAAGCTTAAAGCATAACAATTGGTAAACTGCTTGATCATCATAAAATAACCTTTCTCAAAAATTTCTTGAAAATATAGTAGAATAACTATTGGTGAATCTTAATTTGGGGATTGGGAATCTTGACATATTCTGGGCTCTCAAGGAAGAGCTATGGCTTATTCATGGCAGTAGAAGACTTTCAAACCAACTTTTCTTAACTATTAACCTACTGACCAAAAGTCACTAAATATGAATTTGAAACTTTTTTTTCCCCAAGACTTTATTGTCAACCTCAAAACAAAATCAAGAAAGTTATTTTGTTTCCCCCCTCTTACCTCCCAGATTGGTGCTTCATTTGGTGACCCCAGCAACCCCTGTATCTCTTATATCTGCAACAACACTGGCTTCACTGCAGTAGTCCAGAACTGTCCAAAGCAGACCTGGTGTGGGGAAGTAAGTCATCTTCTTAACTGAGGACAATAAGAATCATTTCTTGTATGAAACACAAATCCAACCCCTCTTCTCCTTTGGAAAAGTTTGTGTCTTATCAACAGACATAAATCTCGTGTGGATTCCATACCTCTTGAAATAAATTTATTACATCCAGAGCCAGATGATTCCAGATATGCCCTCCTTTTGTTAAGTGCATTTTTTGTATCAGGAAAGACTCTCATGTATTATAGGCTCTGTAAAACTTAATTTCGTGATGTTCAAGAAGTAAATTATTTTTTAAAAGCTCTTTGCTATTATTAAACAAAGAAACACTAACTTTTTTCTAGTACTCAAATCATTGTCTATAAAAATACAAATTTTCCATATAATCACACGTATGTGTACTGTTTAGATCTTTCTTTGTGCTGCAGGTTTGTTCATGTCTAGACTCCCAAAATAAAATGAGGTTTTATGTTAATGAATTCTTAAGTTTAAATTAGTAAGGGAAGTTAAATTATCAGTTTTTATTTCGGAAGCTATAATTGATCATATAGTTTACAGTTTTATTTTAGACCTCCAATATTGGATTTCATTATTTATTGAGCTTTTACTTTGTTATAGTCTTAAATCTATCATTGTCTCAAAGTAAAATATATAGATTCTAACTGAAAGCTTATAATGTCTAGGAATCATATCACTGTCAAAGTTTTAAAAGTCAATATAAGTGAGAAAAAAATTATTGTTATTTTTTGCATGTTATCTTTTTAAAAATTTGGCTTAAATATTGTTTTTCCTTTTCTGCCCATTATTTAAAAATTTTAGTCAAAACAGTCTCATTTTTCTTATTAAGTCCATCTCATTCCTTTCCCATCCCTGCTTCCTGGCTCTGGTATCAGATTTTTCCTCCATTCTACTTCCCCTTTTGTGATGATATTTCAATAAATTAAGAAATGTTATATTATTTGCAGAAAAATTTGGGAGAGGTTTTTTTTCAGTCTTTTTTCTTTTCTTTTACCCGTACAGGAAGACAGAGTCTATGATTCACAAAAATGTTGCTATACATGTAAGTAAAGTTGAGCTCCACATTGATAAGGAATGTAACCTGTAGACAAAAGTTTAGTGTTTCTATAAAACAAAATGACAGATCTTTAATAGACAGTCACTGGTATTTGTAACACAACAGATGATATAACCTGTATGTATAAACTACCAATTGATATTTGCACGCAATGTGTTATGGCTATGTGTTTGTGTTGGTTGTTGTGGCATTACTCCTAGTGAAAACCAGTTATGTATACAAGTGAACAAATCTAATTTTCATGGAAACACTAGCTTGCTCTTCTGGTATCAGCAAGTTATGTTGTAAATTGGAGTATTATATCACATGAATGACTAGTGATGAGAAAATGGATGTCAAATCTAATTCATTTCTCTCTTCTTCCCACTTTGTCCTTCCCCGCTCCTTCATCTATGACAGTGGTAATAGCAATAACAAGATAACATTCATCTGACCAGCTGCCTTGTGCTGGGTATTGAGATAGTTAATCCCCTCAATAACCTATGAAGTCCTGCCATTACTGTATTTATAGTTAATAAAATTGAGGCTTAGCAGTTGTTAATGTTAAATGTCATTTCTGACTCTGTTATCCATTTTGTTTTAGGTAAGAATAACTGCAAATCTTCACCTGTCAATGTTACTGTTTACTACAATGGTTGCAAGAAAAGAGTTGAGATGGCAAGATGCCAAGGGGAATGCAAAAAGACTGTCAAGTGAGTTTTGGTTTGCATGTGTACTGTGTGTTAACTTTGTAATCTTGTGGAGGAAATTAAGCTTTCAAAACATCACATGGAGAAGCTTTCATGGAGAGCAAAACTATTTCATTATCAGGACCTAATGAAACAAATTTCTAATATATTAAAATCTGAGAATTCATGTATTAATTTTAAATAGTGATGAGTCATTCTGACGTAGTTTTCTAAATATGCCTAACACAATACATTTGTGGCAAATATATTTATCTTCATGCAGGGACCACAGAAAACATTTAAGCAAGAAAGTGAATTTCTAAAAGTGTTAAGTTTTAGATATTTTATGTTTTTTCCTTTGTGTACTTTTATATATAGATTAATATAGAGATAATTTGATCTTAAATTGCACATTTAAAAATCTATTTTGTTTTCACCATATCTATCTTTTTTCACCATCATGCTATAATTATGAGATCATTAATCTTCCTTTTTTATTTCTTTTCTTCCTTTAGTCTTACCTACCAATTATCACTAATTCACATCAGAAGTTTATAGTGAGAGGGGTAATGCAAGATCTAGAAAAATAATAAATTGGTTGGAAGGCTTTCCAGGGCATTTAGGCAATTAGAATTTGAGTATTGATGTCAATTTATTTCAAAAGATGTTTTAAAAATTTTATTACTGAATATTCTTTTCTTTTAGGTACAATTATAATACATTTCAATTGGAAAATTCATGCCTTTGCTGCCGAGAAGAAAACTATGAGTACAGAGATGTTGTTCTTGACTGTTCTGATGGTAGTACAACACCTTACAGATACAGGCACATTACGACCTGTTCTTGTTTAGATATGTGCCAACAAACCACGTCCTCATTTGTCAAATAATGTAAATATTACCTTCCCAATTGTAACAGGCCAGGCATTTATTTTATAAGTGAACAAAAATAATTACTAAATAGTGAGCATAACTAAACATTTGTATCTTACTCTAAAAATGAGTTCTCATTATAAGGCATTTTGTTCTCTTTTTGGCTGAATCTGGAAAAAATAAATACAACTTCTCAAGCAATTAATGAGCATATGTATTTATTTTATGGCAATAAATATTCTGCAAGTCAAGAAGAAGCTGAGTCATATCATGACTCTGCAATAGTATTTTCTTTTACCCTTCAGCTCCTTAGGCCATTACTCTGTATTGTGTGTTCCCTTCACTTACTGAAAAGGTACACTTTGTTCTCTTTCCTCACTTCCTATACCAGCTGCTGTATCCTTTTCATCCTACTACACCTCCTTCTGCTAGGACACCAGTGACCTCCTTGTAGTTCTGTCTACAGGGTCTGATGTCATCTACACTCTTCCTTTCTCATTGTTTCTGTGATGTCATTTTCAACTGGTGTTCCTACAGCTTATGGACAGCTTTATTTTTGCTAATTCTTTACATTTTAATTTTTCAATTGAATCCTATTCCTCTTCTCGTTTTCCTCAAAGTCCTCGGCTGTTTTCATCCACACAAGTAGATGTGTTTACACATTGAGGATTTCCAGTCTATATTACCATCTCTGAATTTTTCTCTGAGTTTCAGACATATTGAAACAACTGTGAATTTACCATCTCTGACTAGATGTTCTATAGGCTCTACAAACTCAGCAAGACTAAAATAAAAATAAATATAATTCTCTCCCTAACTTGCTGTCTCTCATTACATATTTTTCTTCCAGTACATATATATCCAAATGTGTCTTGGATAAATTATTTACATAGGTAAAATGTGTGCAATTATTAATACTAGTATCTCCTTCCTAACATGAAGGTGAACCCAATTTATCATAACCCATTCATGTATTATTCCTCACTTTTCTATATCACTTGGACTAGTGGTAAATTTAAGTATCTTTAAAGACTGTATGTCTAATAGTGGGGAAGAAATTTGGCACGTTAATATATACCAATTTGGTTGTAACTGCCACCAAAAGACAAATGATAACTCCATATAGGTGGATATTAAAGATGTCACATCTACAAGGCCTTTAACTTTCCTCCATGTGTTGTTATTGGTTCCAGGTTTTTATTCCTTTCAATAATACCAGAGTTGATCAGTTGGCAAAATTATGAGGGGTTTGAGCCCTTTAAAATCCAAATGGGTGAGGTTGAAGGAGTTTTTCTATACCTTTTATCTCATGGGATGGTAGATCATAGAATCAACAATATATCTACATTTCAGCTCTTACTGTGTGACAGTAACTCTATTTTTACTTGATAGTCAGAACTGATCATCTCAGATACTGTAATGACTGCCTTTTCTGCTCAGAAAGGTTGCTTTATAGTTATGAGAAATCCCAAATGACTAGCCAGAAGTTTCAGAAAATGGGAAATAGAGTTAATATTGATTTGGGGTTCAGCTAATAATATATTACACCCTGCCATCAGCACACCAACATCATAAGGTAGTATCCCTCAGCTGACATCAGAGTGGAGTACTCAGTAGGCCTATCTTTAAACTCTACCGTTTGCGAATAATCATGCACAATAAATTCATTGATGCCGTGTGTACCTTTATTTTCCTAATTTGAAAATAAATTCCTTGGTTAGAAACAGTCCTGTACTCTAAAGTAGTCATGAATTCCATAGATAGCAGTGCTTGCCGAGGCATATTGGACACAAAAAGAAAAGGCTAATTGGTATTTTGTTATTTTGGAGAAAACCAATACTGTCCTCTCCTCACCAAAATAGGATTAAAGTTGTCCCCTTGTTGCAAAGTGACTGACTGGCATCCCATGACAGTGCCAAAATATATTATTATCATCCATTTATATCATAATACCGCTAATATTAGCACAGTGATATCCAAAGTGACTTTAGTGGAAGAAATTTAGGCTGCCAAACCCATGCATGACCCCCATTCCTGCCACAATTGCTACTTTTTATTCTACTACCGAACTGGATAGGAAAGAAGGCTTCCTGATGACCACAAACCATGATCACCAAAATTAACTCATATTGTTTGTTACCTGATTCTCTCATCAAGATCCCTTGTAGGGAAACTGTGGTTAGCATTCGTGTATGTTCAGGCATGGATCTATTCTGTATACCCATACAATTCTCCTACCCCTTCTTAGCATTCTCATCCAATTTTTCTCCTTCCAAATCCTTGGCTATTTATACAAATTATTTGCTACTTCTCAGAAATCAGTGTAAATCTTGACTTTGGGTCAACCTTCTACCAAGTTCAATGGCCAGAGAATTTTCCTTTACAGTTGTTTTTCGTGGCCACTCCCAAGATAGGCTGTAATGCTGTAATAGCACATTTTTCACTGATACTAGGGGCATAGGCAATCTAGCTTTGAGTCGTCTAATTTTTTTATCAAATTGGCATAAGTAACTTACCCCTCCAAGAAAAATACATAAATTTAGAGAAATGTGGCAGCCAGATAGGTGATATTACATTGTATGTATTAAGAAACCATAACGCCAGGCATGGTGGTTCATGCCTGTAATCCCAGCACTTTGGGATGCTGAGGCAAGAGGATTTCCTGAACCCAGGAGTTTGAGACTAGTCTGGGCAACATGATGAGACCTCATCTCTACAAAAAAGAAAAAGAAAAAGAAAAAATTAGCCAGGCATGGTGGCGGGTGCCTCTAGTTCCAGCTACTTGGAATAATGAGGTGGAAGGACCGCCTGAAACCAGCAGGATTGAGGCTGAGATGGCCATGAGCCTGCCACTGTACTCCAGCCTGGATGACAGTGAGACTCCAACTCCAAAAAAAAAAAAAAAAAAAAAAAAAAACCATAGCATGGATCTGACTTGTGCCTTTGAGATCTCAATGGAGTCTATCCTATACATATTATGACTTCTGATGGATGATGGATTGCTCTTGGGAATGTCTCACTTCACGGCTATATAGATAAACTAATACCCAGTCCAGGATAAGGTGCTTTGGTCCATGGTCACCTGTTATTTCTGGCAGTATTGCCAGAAAGCTAGTGTTTGTTTGCTTTTTAAAAAAATTTTATTTTAAAGATGTGGGGTACAATTCAGGATTAGGTATACAAGAGGTCACTGCACAGGTAAGCTACTATGTGTATTTGTTAAAAACAGAATAGTTGCTTCAGAAGGTGGTGTGGTCTTGCTTCGAAACCCCAAAGCATCTGTCGCTGTGATCATATTAGAGCTTGTTATTGGCTCTAATATATAATCAGATGTAAACTGATTATAGAAAACTCCAAGTAACAGTGACTTTAAAAATATAGAAATTTATTTATCTAGTGATTAAGAACAGGTATAGTTGTATCTAATGTTTTCTATCTTGTTGCTTTACCATCCTCAATATGCATTTTTCATCTTCCTTCTTGATGGCCCATGATGGTTCCCACTAGCTCTTGCCTTCTTATTTCTTATTCCAGTCAGCAGGAAGGAGGAATGGGAGAAGGGGGAGTATGCTTCATTCACTTTAAAGGCAAGACACAAAGGTTGTACACATACTTCCACTAAAATCTCATTGGCCAGAATTGCAGAACCATGGCTATCTATGGAATCACAGCCAAGATTCCAAAATAAAGGAGTATGGACTTCCTATAGAGCAATTTTTGGGAATCTTTATGAATATACAGGTTTATGAACTTCATCCCCAGAGAGTCCAATTCAGCAGACCAGAAAGCTGGTAGTCATATCAATAGTTGCAAACAAAGTTCTCTGGGCCATATTGTTCTACTTAGTAAGAGAAACATCAAAAAAGCTGCTGCATTTGAGCCATAACCTCAGGTTTCTGGGAAAACTCTCAAATGGTGTTTTTCTGTTTGTTTGCTTTCTCTACTCCTATACTACCACAGTAATAATCATCAACACAGAGACTTCTGTTGTAGCCAGACCAAACCCATTTTGTGAAAGAACAGTAACAAAAGTTATGCTGCCCCCCTTTTGCCCCTACTATGATTAATGCTTACCTATATGCTTGCTCAAGGAATTCCAGGACCCAACATAAACAGGAACCAGTTTGCAGAATGACCCTCCTGAGGAAGCACAGTTAATCTATGACCTGTGTATGGTCAGATTGACACCAGCTGGACCACCAGATGGACCATTACTCAAGACAAGCACGATGAACTACATGTAACCTACCCTTGTTCATCATTTCCCATGCTCCTTTTTCTTTTAAAACCCCTTCATTCAGCCTGAGGAATTTGAGATGGCCTGCCATCTTCTCAGGTTGCCAGCTCCTGAATAAAACCCACACCCCAGGTAATGGAGACCGACTGGGTGTCCTTCAGTTCAATTCCAATACTATCTACCGAGAGATATTGTCAGCTCTCACAAGTCAGGGGTTCAGTTCCCAAGACTGACCCCTCCTTCTGACTAGTCACAAATCCAAGGTTCCAGAACTTCTGACAACTGGCTTCAAGTTGAGTTTACCATGACCTCTTCTTTGGGTTTGCTTAATTTGTTAAAGCAGCTCACAGAACATAGGGAAACACATTTACTGGTTAGTTATAAAGGATACAAATAAACAGTTAGATGAAGAGGGACATAGGACAAGTCTGGAAGGGGTCTGAACTCAGGAGTTTCTCTTCCTGTGGAGTTAGGGTATACCACCATCCAGGCATGTGGATGGGATGAGTGCTTGTTCACCTTCCTGTCCACCTCCATGTTTTCAACTCTCTGGAAGCTTTCTGAACCCAGTCTTCTTGGGTCTTAATGGAAACTCTGTGACACCAGCCTTCTTTCCCCCAGGACATGAGGCAAAACCCTCTCTGAATAGAGTCTTAAGACTCACATTCAGAAAACATGGGAAAGACTGGAGTCCTGCCTTGTGGCAGGGGAATGGTGGGCAGAAGCAGGTAAGAGAGATTCTGCCCTTAGGCCCACCTCTGAGGCCTAACACACTAAACATTATTAAAAAACTATAACAAGGGTTATGAGCCAGAAACCATGGATGAAAATCAAAACATATTATAATACTACACCAGTTTATTGTGAAGGATACTGTGATGTGCTGTCCAGATTCTTCATCAGAAATAA